AATCTATCAAATCCTGAAACGCGAAACTTTAACCGCTATATTATCCTGCCTCACCCTTCCTCCCTGAGGTTGGGAAAAGCTCACTTTGATTTAAAATTAGGGCTATTAAGATACGATGTCTGCCTGTTGGTTTCTAATTTTAATACAGTTCATTTACTGCCTAACCAAGTACAAGTCATTAATTCTAAACAGCGACAACCAAACTCACTTATATGTTGGTGCCAGGTAAACTTCAGCCAAGAAGATGAATCACACATGACAAAGACACATAGCTGAATAGTGTCTGTGGATGGCATTAATGGTGTGCCAGTCATCTGCCAGTATGCCAGCCGAGAAGGTACATGACTCAATACGGCATGTGCATGCTGGTTTTTCTGTTCTGCATTTTCTCGAAGCAGAAAGCGGGGGAAGCTAACCGAAATCCGCTCAGCGGCGACTACAAATCCTGTAGGTAAACGAGAAACGGGTCAGAAGATGCACAGCCACGAATTGACGCAAGGCTGAAGAGTTCTTCATTCAGGCACACTTCAGAAGCACTACCGAAGTCCTGATTTAACGTTTTTGATTGGAAGGGTGACCGACTTCCTGCGGACAGAAGACATGGACGGAAACCATGGCAAGAAATCGTTTTACGGTTACGTCTGCACACAAGCCATTCTCGTGTACCGGGCGCGTAACTAGACTTTGGTAGAATGGTCATAAAGCGAAAATTGTTTACATCAGAAGTGACACACGACAAGCAACGGTCATCAGAAAGACGGTTGGGTTTCATGGCAACAAGAACGTCGGTCAAGAACGCCGGATGTGCCGGGTCAGAAGCCTGAAATGAGAAAATTTATCTGAACCGCTAGTCCCCTTGCGCAAGGAATTTACGCCATGTTGCATTGACGCAACTAACCATTAACCCAGAAATGGGTGGGAGCTCGCTGACTAGGGAATTGGAGGGACAGGATAGTATTCTAGTGTGGTTGTGATGCAATGGGCGAGACAAACGGTTATAGTGTCTTATGTGAGAGCATTATGCATCTGCAATTCTTCCTTATTCAATGTAATAATCAGCGGATCACGATCACTGTTGTTTTCCTAATATACACAGTGGTCGCTAGCAGCTGTGAGAAAGTAGCTAGTAAAGTTTGAGAGGATCTTCGAAGCATGCAAATGTTTACAGTTTTCATTAATTACTGTGCATTACTGTGAGCAGCACAATGACATAATTTTATACATAAACTGAATTTGTCGATGACATCGATTTTAGCAACCTAAAAACAGAGTAATTCATGAAGAAAATGAGCATTTACATTCAGCACGTTGAAGGAATCACAGATGAAATAGCAGTCTGAAGTCGCCTTTTGACCTCAACCATTGAGGTATAAACCGTTGGAGGGCCATCGTCACAACTTCGTTGAAAATACAGCAAAGGACGGTGTCACAGTTGACTTTAGGCTTTAGTTTCGCCGCCGCACCAAACACAATAGCTTAAAGAAGGAATACAGCAGAGGTACGACTCTCAGAAACGACCTGCAAGTGCTTCACTTGCAAATCAGTGTCAGAGACAACTTAATATTCCCGTGTATTAATGCCGCCTTAGTGCGTTTTGCAGCTGCAATTCCATTTGACGTACCCGGAAACTGACAAAAACCAGAATGATGTGCAAGCGGCACAAAATCGCACTTCAAACTCGTCTCGCTGCAGTATCTCGTACGGTTGATAACCACACCATTTTTTCGATCCATCTTTTTAAATACAAACTGATATTAAAATTTTTATACGACGTATATTTCGATTTTGACAAAAAACAACATCATCAGGCACCGTGTTAACATTGAAGTTAGTTTAGATTAATTCAACAACTACAGGCATTCATTAAGATAGATAAATTCGATTGTTCCCGCCTTCAACTTCGTCTTATATGACCGTCTCTACTTTAGAGGCTCAGAGGCCGACGCGTCAGACAGCGCTTCCAACGTTTCTGATCATTTGCCAGAGTCTGAGCTTCGGCAGAACACAACTGAAGTCTGCAACACATATGTTTGCACCAGGTTAATCTTGGCCGTCCTCTGGGTCTTCTGCCGGTCGGATTTGCAAGGAAGAGTTGCTTAGCCTTCTTTTCTGGACGCATTCGCAACACATGCCCAAGCCATCGCAGCTGTGACTTCTCAATCTGGAGAAGCAAAAGCTGCAATCCAAGGCTCTTTCGGACGTCACTATTCCGCACCATGTCGAGACGCGTAAGGCCAGCGACTCGTCTAAGAAAGCCCATTTCAGCAGCT